TTGCCTTAGTTTATATCCTTTTTAAAATTCTTGCTATTGTTTCTCTTAAATTCGGAAAACTTTCTTATGTTTCTTATGTATTTTATTAAATATGAATAATTAATTGTGTTCCTGGGGCGGCTACATTACTCGCTTTAAATTGTATTCATTGAAAAGTTTGTCTGTATAATCCTCTGCCCGTACGAACATGTAGATCTCGGAAACTATAAAGCCAGAAATTTGATATTTAACATTCTAGTTATCCTAGTTATGCCCAAGCAACGCAAGTTTATTTCAAAATTTGCCCCGCCCACTTTAAGAGATGGTATACACATCTTTTTGCATGTATATGTTTATTGAAACACACCAACATTTTCGAAACCAAACCATTATTTCTAATTTTGGGTCTGCATCCTTTTAATTTATTAAATTAATTAAACATTATTTTTGTTGATCTAGTAGCAATTATTTATAATAGCTTAGCATAGTTTTCTGCGCATTCAAATAATAATATGCTTATTATATAGATGGGTTGTATTTTACAACGCTACAAAACTCCCAAATCGGATTTTTTGGGTAATCTCAAAAGTCTTTGATTTGATGCATATATTATACGGCCATAAATAAGAAGTCTCCTCTTCACACTCTAAAAGTGCGTTTCAAAAATGAAATATTGTAGCTCCTTTAACTTCGGAAAAACTTCGAATTACCCAAAACAATGTTTGCTATTGTTAACCCATAAAGAAAAAAGGTTCCAAGAAATTGTTAGTAAAATTTCGTACAAATGCACTTTTAGTTTACGAAATACGCATCGATCATTCTTGATCTGGAAATATTTAATACTGAGTATAGTTTTCGATTGATACTATAGCAATCATAAATATCAATTAGGTAGTACGTTGCTTGCCTGCAATTCATTATTTCAGTATTCTTCGGTTAATGCATAATGAATCGCATAAAATTAGCTTAACTTCACATGCCTGGCATTCCCCACAGTGCCCTTAGAAGGGAAGTCGAGCGTATTATGCAACTATTAAGCATATCGATCCGACTGAGTGGGCGGCAAATGACAGCTTTAACTTTAGACAGGGGTCCAGTTCGTCAATACATAAATTCGAGCCCTTTGCCATCCCCGCATGCAGGCCTCAAAACCAAACGATGCAATTTTCAATGCATAATTCATCTGCCAACAAATTGATTGGAATGTTTATGCGCTTTCGGAGCATTTCAATTTACGCACAAACAAATTTGAATTACCTTCAAAGCACACAACCAACCGCAGTCCCATCCCTCTCCCCTCATGAAAAACAAATGAAATGCAATGCGAAGTGGTTTTGCGAAAAACAAAGCAATTCAAAATCGAATATTTCCTGTACGTCTGCGTTTAAAAGGCCTATACATTATCACAGCGTCGTACGTTTCAAAAATTATTTAATGTCTGAAGATCGGGGAGTTCATAGTGAAAAGGCCGCCCTTAAATTATAGCGAACATTTGAGAACCAAACCACAACCAACACCTTTCCCACGGTGAAAAAATTGTGATGTACATCATTGAAATTGCGATTTCTTCAAAGTATTTGTTCGCCGAGCAATTTGTGTTTTCCCACCGTTAAATTTTGGGCTCTGAAAATAATTGCAATTGCAGTGTGTTAAGGGACTGCGTCCCCGGACACGTGCTGAAGGACCCCGAAAAAGTCTGATTGAAACATATCTGTTTCACGACCCATTCCAATCGACTAAGGGGTAGATTACGGCTTGTCAAGAACACTGCAATCCAGAGTACTCAATCCTGAAAGTATGAGCAGTGTGGCCTCCGCAAGTTTGTTAATTATACCTCAACAGCTGCATATAACTAAAATGTCACACAATGTGTGTGACGCGGTCAATTTTCTCGGACTATAGCGTTTATTTATATAGACACTTAAAAGGATATTTTCATACCCTTGCAGGAGGTATTATAATTTCAGTCAAAAGTTTGCAACGCAATGAAGGAGACATTTTCGACCCTATACAGTATATATTCTTGATCAGCATCACCAGAAGAGTCGATCTAGCCATGCTAGATCCGTCCGTCCGTTTTTACGCAAACTAGTCCCTCAGTGCCGAAGTTTGCTTCCTTTTTCGTTTTCAATACGTTAATATTATTTATAAATTTAATATTATTTGAAATTTTTACCATATTTGGACCATATCTGCGTAATAATAATAATCATTCTCAGTTTAGAAACTAATTGTGTGGGAGTACCGTTTATACACATACATATGGTTTATGTTAATAGCAAAATAAATTAAATGATAATCGATAATTAACAAAATTTTTCCAATCCGTTGTTTTGAATAAAAAAAGAAAAAAAAACATATATATAAGGCAAAAAAAGGCAAACGAATTTTGCTTCCAAATGAAAATATTAATTCGTGAAAATGTATTCAGTAATTTATTTAAAATAAAGAATTACAGAACGGAATTTTTTCTGATTAATAATTATTTATATACTACCTGCAACAGAAAGAAAACTTTGGAAAAAAATTGAAATATAAAGAGGGGAAACTGACCAATTTCATGCTTTTAAATAAAATGAGGATCAAGGTGACTTACAAGCATTCATAAATTTCAACCGAAGATATTTATGTGTCATTCGCAATTAATATAACTTTATACCTTTAAGCCTGCACCTTTAACAAAGTCCCATTTTGTTGTCCTACAAAATTATTCAATTTGCGTTTGGGTTTTAAAAAGAGTTGGTCGGATATTTGTGTGTCTATTTCCCAATTGCTTGTCAAGTGAATTATTGAAAGACTGAAAGAGATAGAGAAAACAAGGAACAGATGATGATGATGATATCGACTAGCTAATTTGCAATTAGGCCAACGCAAACTGAAATTAAATCAATGCATTGAATAGCTTGGGGCGCTTTAGTTTAATTGAAAACTGCGCCAAGCAGGAGCAACTTTTAATGAAGACGGAGCTTGAAATGATGGGGAAGCCACAGCCGAGGGAAAATCAGGAGCTGCCGACGAAATTGAGAGGGGGCTGTTGCAACAAAAAAACAGAGAAAATGCAAAAATGGTCTTAATTTGCATAGGAAATTTGGGGAGTTGTTGAAAGCTTCTCAAGCATTTAATGCACTTCGCTCTCTGATGAAATGTGTATTCAACTATAAAAAGGCATTGTAAATAGTAGGTCTTAGTTATTTTCCATTTGTTGTATGTAGTAATGTACTAAGACTGGCAAATATAAATATTTTAATGTAAACAATAATGTGTGATGACCTAAAATAGCTGAATATTACAAACCTCATTACATCCGTTATTGACATTTTTGTCCGTTTTCTCGTCTTTGTTAGGTAAACTAAAGTAGCTTCAAACTAAAGAAAGTGGCTTACCCTTAAAATGAGGAAATGGGGAAATAGCCCTTAGAGTATGAAGTATCATAATACAAATTACAAATTAAATCCATTTAATAAGTGAAGACATATACTTAAACTATTTCACTATTATGTATTTATTTTGGGTTTTAAATATAAATATCGATAGTAATGGGATTATCTCCTTATACGGATAACACTTTCTAAGAATTACAAAAAGACAAGAAAGGCAGCCAACTAAGGTATCGTATAGCTGAGTTAGGGGTATCTTAAAGTCAAGGCACTCAACTAAAGCGCTTTTCCTTGTTTTTGTGTCGACCGTCGAGTTTTTTTTTATTCTTTAGATAAGATTTATGTTTTTTGTGATACAATTCAGATTATTTCATAACAAAAATTTGGTTGTTCATGGTGAGGTTCGCACTAGTTTGTTTATTTGTTTATAGGTGTTTTTGTTGTACTTTCCAATAGCTCAACTTTGTCAACTACTTTTGGTAACGTATATATTATATGTCAAAACTGTTTACATTATAATATTAATATTCTTATAGTCCCTTATGTTTATCTCATATTCGTCAGAATATATGCATATCATATTAGTCACAAGTACAAAATCTGCTATTTCATGTGCCTTGTCGGTGTAGACGTATTGATATCTTATCACTGAATAAAGTGTTAACTCCCAACCGGCAACGCAGACAGCATAGTCTGGGTTTCGCTTTCCTTCAGAGCTTTCTACTTTGAAAGAGCAGCGATTCCTAGAGGCTATTCTGGAGATTTTGTCGAAACACCTGTAAGGTGACCTCGTCCGTCACGTTTTATTGAGGTCACCCACTGACTGGCTGACCGAGAATTAACCCTTTAATGAACGGAGTTTGCTTCCGGCACCATAAAATTGATCAAATGATGAGTTGTTTAATGCAAAACAACTACATAGCCGCCCATCACCTTTATGTACTTTTAAAAACTCATTAATCATTTGTTTATAAATAATGAAATATTGACAATCTTGCGACAACGTTAACAGCTGGTAAAAATACTCTATCAACTCTTAAAACAAATTAAATAACATAAGGTTATATATAAGTTGTATTTCTTATACACTTATCTGGGTACTAAAATTTATTACTTTCCCTAGGTACTGATTTCCTAGATACTTAGATACTAGGTACCTAAATTGCAGAACAAATAATTGACATATTGATGTAATGTACGTAATAAATTTTAGCAAACTTTTCCTAGGTTTTGGAAAAATTGGGTTTTTTATTATTCTACAAAATATTTTAAGCCTATTTGTAACCAAGAAACAAGTACCTCCCCAACACTACTAGTTTAGGATTGTACAAGATTTGAACGAGTGCTGACAAAAAGGTTTAAGATAGATAAAGCCTTATCTTTTGTTGTTTGTAAATTTTTAATAAAAAATAGTGTTTGTTCACACAATGACTCGTCAGGTTTACATAATTGGTAATTCTGACGAGAACATTAAGCGATTCCGAGTTATGTGATATGCCGAATATAATCTTAACTATTGGTAGCCAACAGCTGAAGTTAGAATGCCTGATAAGCTAAGTGGGTTGATATAACTTATCAGGTACCGTACCAGACCGTTTAAAGCATGAACTAGCAATAGTGAACCAGTTTACTTGCAGTTGGCGACTTGGTCAGATGGCCGGAAAATCAAATTGGCTTGCCCTTTATATTCTGGCTATAATTGCTGGAGTCCATGGGGCTGACATTCTTGGTCTTTTCACCAGCCTGAGTCCATCGCACTTGGTAATCCAAATGTCGATGGCCCGGATTCTGGCAGAGAGAGGGCACAACGTGACTGTTGTTACCGCCTTGAAACCTCCGTTTCTGCACAAGGACATCAATCACATCCTTGTGCCACTGGAGAAGGAAGACCTTCAGGCTTTCAGTTCTGTTGTTGGTGGCTTATCCAAGACAGACAATAGCAACGCCTACACATCCATGTTTCGATCGATGAGGCAAATAAGCGAGGCGTTCTCCAAGATGGGCACCGTGATGAAGCACCAGGTAGTAAGAGATCTCTACGAGCATCCGGATAACAGGTTCGACCTGGTCATCGTGGGCTACTTCATGAACAGTTTCCAACTGGCCCTGGGCTACAAGCTGAAGGTACCAATAGTGGTGGCCCTCTCAAATCCACCAGCCTTTTTGGGCGACGTTCTGGGAAACCCGTGGGAAGTGTCATACGTTCCTGCGATGCATTTGGGTACCGATAGTGGGAGTCCCATGGGCATTGGAAAGCGTGCTCTCAACATCTTGGGAAACTTGGGGCAGCGGTTGTTCATGTTCGCAATTGAGTATGGTAATGCAAAAACTTACAGGTTGGTATAAAACCATTTCTTTTGTCATGGCTTAGTAACCATTTCTCCGATTTTTTAAGGGAGATCTATGGCGATGACCCTGCTCTTCCCAGCTATGGGGACTTGAACAAAAACATTTCACTTATCTTCTTTGCCTCGCACGGTATAAGCGAGGGTCCCATCAGGCCCAACCTACCAGCTGTGATCGAGGTGGGAGGAATTCAAGTGAAAGACCGTCCGGATCCACTACCCAAAAGTATGGCAGATTTCCTGAGTGAAGCTCCTCACGGAGCTATACTTCTCAGCTTGGGATCAAACCTAAAAATAGATCACCTCAAACCTGACACGGTGCAGAAAATGTTCAATGTCATCTCGAGTCTGAAGCAGAAAGTGATCTGGAAGTGGGATGATCTGGAGAACACCCCTGGAACCTCGGAAAACATACTCTACTCAAAGTGGCTGCCTCAGGACGATGTCCTTGCGCACCCAAACATCACTCTGTTTATTACTCACGCGGGAAAAGGTGGAGTGACCGAGGCTCAGTACCACGGTAAACCCATGCTGGCCCTACCCGTATTCGGAGATCAGCCCAGCAATGCCGATGTCATGGAACGGCAGGGCTTTGGACTGAAGCAAAGCCTTCTCAACCTGGAAGAGGACACCTTCCTTGGTGGGATCCAGGAGGTGCTCGAGAACCCAAAGTACGCCACAAGGGTAAGATCGTTCTCTGCCCTCTATCGGGATCGTCCATTGAGCGCCCAACAGACGTTCATCTACTGGGTGGAGTATGTGATCCGGCACCGTGGAGCCCCGCACCTTCAGAGCCCTGTGGTGCATATGAACTACATAGAAGTCAATAACCTAGATATATACGCACTGGTTCTTGTAGCTACAGCCTCCATATACTTCATTGTTAAGTTAGTTATTGGCTTACTCTCCAAGGCATTGAAGAGCAAGACATTGAAAAAGTCACAGGTTAATCACAAAAATAAGCTAAAAATGAAATAAAAATGGCTGCGGCAAGTGAAAACAAATAGTTTCTACGTCAAGTTTTAATTATGTTTAAAAGGTACCCGTACAAATCATTAATCGATAGGCTAGGTAGTAACAAGAGCGCTGTGTGTATTTAAATTTACCTATATGTTTCGCCCAGGTTTTAGAAGTTTTGAACAGATATTTACAAATATTGCCATATTCTATTTAAAACCTTTAGGTATGTTAAGCGGTTGTTTTAATAACCTGACCGAGTGTCAACATATCATTTTTTCCAAAGTCAACAAAGAATTAAAACAAACATTTTTATAAAAAAACAAGAAAGGAAAGCTAACTTCGGGCGGAGCCGAAGTTGATATACCCTTGCAGAATACTCTGTAAATTATATTCTCCAAAATTATTCATATAATGCATTCTTAATACTCAAAAAAATCCCAACTTCCTAACTTTACAAACACGAAAGTTATGGCATTTCCGATCAATCAGTTATATGGCAGCTATAGGATATAGTCGGCCGATCCTTATGAAATTTGGTAGGTCGGATTGATTGGCCAAATATAAAACCCATAGAAAATCCCAACTTCCTAACTTTACAAACACGAAAGTTATGGCATTTCCGATCAATCAGTTATATGGCAGCTATAGGATATAGTCGGCCGATCCTTATGAAATTTGGTAGGTCGGATTGATTGGCCAAATATAAAACCCATAGAAAATCTCAACTTCCTAACTTTACAAACACGAAAGTTATGGCATTTCCGATCAATCAGTTATATGGCAGCTATAGGATATAGTCGGCCGATCCTTATGAAATTTGGTGAGTCGGATTGATTGGCCAAATATAAAACCCATAGAAAATCTCAACTTCCTAACTTTACAAACACGAAAGTTATGGCATTTCCGATCAATCAGTTATATGGCAGCTATAGGATATAGTCGGCCGATCCCGGCCGTTCCGACTTATATACTGCGTGCAAAGGAAAGAAGGGTGTGTGCAAAGTTTCAATTCGATAGCTTTAAAACTGAGAGACTAGTTTGCGTAGAAACAGACAGACGGACAGACGGACAGACAGACGGACAGACGGACAGACGGACATGGCTATATCAACTCAGGAGGTGATCCTGATCAAGAATATATATACTTTATAGGGTCGGAGACGTCTCCTTCACTGCGTTGCACACTTTTGACCAAAATTATAATACCCTCTGCAAGGGTATAAAAAGGTTATTAATATGTAATACTAGCCTGAATCATCATCAAATGAAAAGGTCGTAAGTAATCTGAAAACATTTTAAGGTGATATGCGCAGTCCCTAGATCTCAGTCCTATCAAATATGTATACAATTATTTAAAACTACGGAACAGAAGCTACGGAATGGAACTGATGCCTTAAAGAATATATAAAGCTATATAATAATAATATATCAACTCAAGGGACGAACCCAGAATGATTTAATACCTTCATATTATGCAAAAAACAGAGAGAAAAACGCTTAAGTCTTTGAAAGATTTCATAGTCGCATAGGGCTTCGCAAGTTAAACTTATTTATTTTTAACTTGCAGAAACTTTTTGCAATTCAGTGAAGAAGAAATGGCCGACACTGTATAGCTTTTATATTCTTGAGTCAATCTAGCCATGTCCATCTGCCCGTCCCGTTTCTTTGCAAAAAGCCTTCTTTCTGTGTCATATAAGTTGAAACCGGTCAGAACGGCCTACTATATCATATAGCTTCCATAGCACACTGGTCCCAATGCCCAATATTTTTGCAAAAACCTATTTTTATACCCTTGCAGAGGGTATTATAATTTTGGTCAAAAGTGTGCAACGCAGTGAAGGAGACGTCTCCGACCCTATAAAGTATATATATTCTTGATCAGGATCACCTCCTGAGTTGATATAGCCATGTCCGTCTGTCCGTCTGTCCGTCTGTCCGTCTGTCCGTCTGTCTGTCCGTCTGTCCGTCTGTCTGTTTCTACGCAAACTAGTCTCTCAGTTTTAAAGCTATCGAATTGAAACTTTGCACACACCCTTCTTTCCTTTGCACGCAGTATATAAGTCGGAACGGCCGGGATCGGCCGACTATATCCTATAGCTGCCATATAACTGATTGATCGGAAATGCCATAACTTTCGTGTTTGTAAAGTTAGGAAGTTGAGAGTTTCTATGGGTTTTATATTTGGCCAATCAATCCGACTCACCAAATTTCATAAGGATCGGCCGACTATATCCTATAGCTGCCATATAACTGATTGATCGGAAATGCCATAACTTTCGTGTTTGTAAAGTTAGGAAGTTGGGATTTTCTATGGGTTTTATATTTGGCCAATCAATCCGACCTACCAAATTTCATAAGGATCGGCCGACTATATCGTATAGCTGCCATATAACTGATTGATCGGAAATGCCATAACTTTCGTGTTTGTAAAGTTAGGAAGTTGGGATTTTTTTGAGTATTAAGAATGCATTATATGAATAATTTTGGAGAATATAATTTACAGAGTATTCTGCAAGGGTATATCAACTTCGGCTCCGCCCGAAGTTAGCTTACCTTTCTTGTTTTTTTTGAAGTTATGAAAAAAAAAAAACATTTTATCTTCGTAGAATAATATACGTTGCATTTAAAAATCGCAATTTCGTTACTGAAATTGCAGCCCTGTTAAATTTGGTAGCCCTGAAAGTCAGCAGTTCTTTGATCAGAAATGTTGACTTTTTGGCGCGCTAAATAAAATCAACACTTTAAAGTAAGATTGCAAAAGTTCTACTTAACATTTTAAAACAAAGTAAAATGGAAAATATTAGTGGAGATATGTAAAATTTAAGTTTTTAATGCAATATTTGTTTAATGTGATTTGTCTTTGTGTATATGTGCTTTTGTAGAGTTGTATTTTTAACAATTTTAACCTATCATTTTTCGTGTTTCTTGGAACAAAAGTATGATGGATTGTGCCGGATTATAAAAACTATTAACGCAGTTTTGTTCTTTCATTTATTTACAATACGATGACATAAACCTTTTTTGCTCGTTTTTGCTCCATTTTCCAAAAAAAAACTTTTTGCTAGACAACATAGACCTTTGTTATGGAGAAATGCTAGAGTATTGGCTGGCACATGGGCGCGAAACCGAAAGCCTTTACGACTTTGTGTTGCAGCATCGAATTGGAAACTTAAAGCAAAACATAGATCCTTTGAAAAAGAGGATTAAGAACTTTGTTGCTTATGTGGATGCTGGAATAAAAAAATGCCCTTTTAATGATCTTTTAACACCACCAATTGTCGATTTCCTAAATAGTTATCCTACTACAGATAATGATGATGAAGATGACTTGGATACCTTTGAATGTAACGATACCTATTCCTTTGATTTAGATGTTGAAAGTGATTAAAAATTAATTAAGTAAATATATTATAATTTTTTAAGATGCATTATTTAGTTTGGAAGTTGAAAATTGGTAGGATATTTTATATATATTTAAAATTTATTGGAAATATTGGCTATTGGCTTTACTAAAGATATTTTATATATATTTAAAATTTATTGGATATATTGGCCCAATTTTCGTGGATGTTTTGTAAATTTTTGTCCCGGGGTGCATTTCTATGGGGCGGAAAGGAAGGCTTGGCCCGATCGGCACAAAATTTTGTCCAGACTTTGCATATATAGTAACTATATAGTGTGCCAAGTTTCAAGTCTGTAGCTTCATTTTTCTAGTTTATGCAAAAATATTGGTCATTGGGACCAGTGTGCATAGGAACAATCGGGAAAACAATTGTAACTTCGTTGTTTTTTAACATGTACGAATGCTCTCCGAGATGGAGTGTTTTTTTTATAAAAATCAAAAGAACGAAAATGTTTAAATTATTTAAAAATCATTTTATTTGAGATTACTTTTTAGTAAACAAATATATATTTTGAAAATTTGAATTTAACTATTTCTATAAATATAGTAAATAGCTTTGACTCCATTTCTGATATTAAACCATAATCGAAAATAAGTAATATATAGGTAAATGTTGTGATTTCCACTTCATTTTTTTCTTGGTGTGTTTTTCTTACGGCTTACGCTTTCAGATGCCAAGTGTATGTAAACTGATTTATCAATATGAATAAATATATATTTCTTGTGCTGCATACCATTAATTCGTTCGATTATCTTCCGCTTAAGCAACAAAACTAATGGTTGCCATGTGCGTGACGGAGGGAAATGGCATACATACACATTTAATCGTCTTTCTGCCCTGCCAATTTTTAATTAACACGCACACTCAAAAGCCCACACTCACACAAATAAATTTATATCGGATGGGGCGTGTAGCTCACATTTCCCCATTGTTGGTCAGTTGCCGTTACTTAATTTCTTTCAGCGTACAGGGAACATTCCGTAGCATCATAAATTAAGTTATCTTTTAACAGTTGCCAAAACTGCAATCTCCAGCTATCAATACTCTATAATTACCGAATGAGTAAGTTGTACAGTGAGAGTGCTGTTATGGAAAGCCTTTTAGTTGAAAAAGCTAGAAAACAGCCAAAATCTAATGATGAAAGCCCTTCCCCACCAAATGTCAAATATTTGATTAGCCCCGTTAGAACAACCCCTTGGGCAGCCCTCTGGGTTTCCCAAACAATCCCACCGACTGACCCCAATACGAGCTCAAGGGTTGTTCGTTCCATAGAATAATTCATTATAATTCTCGCTCATTAACCCATGTTTCCATATGCGCTATCCTGGAGCTTGCCACGACTTTGCCTCTCGGACTTTGGTAAGGACTAACAAAATGAGAAAAACACTTTTCATAATTAAGCATTGAAATTTTTGTTTGTCTCGCATGCCGGGGTCTCTACTTCAATTCCAATTGGCTTCTCTTTAACATATTCTTTTGGTCCACTTCCCAAACTTTATTTCGCTTTCTGTTTTTGGCAAACACAACAAATATTCTCCCTTATGGACATATAGTATTATTGCCTTTGAATTGTGGTTGACCCTTTACTTCCTCTCAACTCTTCCAACCCACTCATTTTTCTTCATATCCGTCGTGTGAAG